AGCCCTCCAGTGGGAGCGGTAACGGTGATATAGAAAGGGTAGTAGATACCCGTAATAGCACTCCATTGGGAGCGGTAACAGTGATATAGAAAGGGTAGTAGATACCCGGACTAGCCTTCCAGTGGGAGCAGTAACAGTGATATAGAAAGGGTAGTAGATACCTGGACTAGCCTTCCAGTGGGCACAGTAACAGTGATATAGAAAGGGTAGTAGATACCTGGAATAGCATTCCAGTGGGGGCAGTAACAGTGATATAGAAAGGGTAGTAGATACCTGGAATAGCCTTCCAGTGGGAGCAGTAACAGTGATACAGAAAGGGTAGTAGATACCAGGGATAGCCTTAAGGTGGAAGCAGTAAAGGATATTGATGATAAAGAAAGGGTAGTATATATATGGAATAGCCTTCCAGTGTATGGTTTCTTCTTGTAAAATACCTGGATTTGGAACATTGCATTTCAAGATGTATTGTACATCACGTCCCCCAGACATTTGAGCTGTATTTAGCCATGAATGGAGGTCGCATGATGAATGATGAAAAGAATTAAAATAATGAACAGAAATTGAACCAAATAATTTTCCAGTCCTGTGATAGACTACAAGTACAAGGAATAGGACAACGTTTTGTTATCATTTCTGACATATCTGACCTGAAGGGCTTAAAATACGTCAAAGCAGATCTAAGTATTAAAACAAAATAAAAAAAAATGACTAATTGAGCCAGCTATTTCATAATTAGAAAGTAAATAAACTGCAAAGCAGCGCAGAATGGGGATATTCCAGGGAATTTAATCAGCCTGATTTGGAACTTTAATGGGTCTTTATAAGATGTTTTCAGATATATTTTTGTTTTGGTTTTGTTTGTTTAGAAATAAAATGCTGGTTCCGCCTTTGCGTTCACGTGACATTCCTGCTTGTTATGCAAACAGATTATTTCAGTTCATGAAATATGAGAAGTTTGGGATTTTCAGAGCGCTCCACACGATATGTTTACCTAATGCGATAACAAGAGTGCGCACAGAAAGAAATGCTGCTCGTTTCCCAGCATCTCCCGTGGACCTCTGACCTGCTCAGCAATGACTGTGCCAAGCCACGTTGCCATGGTGAAGAACACCTGCTTGATACAACATTGCATCACCTTCAGCTTCATGTGTGCAAAAACTGCGCTCTTGCCATGGCAGCGTCTTCATATATCAAACTGATATGGGTTCGATTAATAATATAAAAACTAATTTATTAAAGGAACACTATAGTAACAAGAATAAAAACATGCTAAACACACTATTAACGTACCTTTATTCCAGCGCTGCATGGGTCTTGCCATGACCCGCTCAGACCACTTCAGCTTAATGAAATGGTCTGGGTTCCTGGTCCATCTAGGGTTAACCCTTTTTTCTATAAAACATAGCAGTTTCAGAAAAACTGATATGTTTATGTTAGGGTTAATCCAGCCTCTAGTGGCTGTCTCATTGACAGCCGCTAGAGGCGTTTGCATGCTTATCACTGTGAAAATCCCAGTGAGAAGACGCCAGCGTCCACAGGAAAGCATTGTGAATGCTTTCCTATGGACTGGATGAATGCGCGCGCGGCTCATGCCGCGCAAGCGCATTCAGCCGAAGAGGAGGGTGCAGACACTGAACTGCACACTGTCCAACACAGACCCAGAAAGCACCTCTAGTGGCCGTCTGAGTGAATGTAATGTGAATGTAAACATTGCATCTCTGAAAATGCAGTGTTTACATTAAAAAGCCTGCAGGAACTATCTATACTCACCAGAACAGCTACATAAAGCTGTATACTGTAAATCAAGCTGTATGCTATATATTAAGCTGTATACGGTACATCAAGCTCTATACTATATATTAAGCTGTATACTGTACAATAAGCTGTATACTGTAAATCGAGCTGTATGCTATATATTAAGCTGTATACTATATATTAAGCTGTATACTGTACAATAAGCTGTATAATGTACATTAAGCTGTATACTGTACATCAAGCTGTATACTATATATTAAGCTGTATACCGTACATCAAGCTGTATACTATATATTAAGCTGTATACCGTACCGTACCGTCCCATGTTTACAGGCACGCCGTGTGTGCCAGATGGGTAAGTCATTCATGCAGCCTAAACTCCAGATATGTTAGCACTGCTCGCATTAAAGGTACACAAGGGGCGTCACATCATTTCTGGTTCTACGTGAGCTAACTCAGTCCAGCGTCCGTGTTTACGCACGTTGTGGGGTTGATGATATGACATGCACCAATCAAACCACGTCTAACACTTTATAAAGGCCCCATTTATTGTCCCTATCGTGGTTTCTATGCCTGGCTAGCTGGTGACTCTGTAATCCTTATCTGGCTAGTTTATACGACCTTCTGTCATTCACTGTTTTTGACTGGCTAGTTTTACTGTTACTCCGTCTCTCCTTTATCCTGACCTTGGCTTGTATTACTCTCTCTTTGGTACCCTAGGCTCCAGTGACACATCTGTTCTATCTGGTCACCTATTAACCTGCCGTTATCCTAGACTCTGCATGTTCGGGTATTGTCCCATCAGTGGAAACGCTAAATTAGCTGAGAGTAGCCATTGTGCAGTGGCCATCGGCCTGTTCAAAGCCACTTCCAGCTCAGACAATTGAGCTGTGATATCCTGTGCCACTGACCACACGTACACACTGCCATGTCTTAGGCCCTTGCCAGGGAAGAGAGAACACACAGTATGTGTACATTGTACACTCAAATTGGACAGACCTTGGATAGAAATGGAGAAATAACCAGCTCTCCTTTACATGTCTCTGCTGTGATTTTTGCAAATTGCTGCAGTTATTAGCCAGCCTAAAGTAAATCTGCCATCCAACTCATGTAGTTAACAATCTGGTAGGCACTAATACAATGGAATAAGAGTACCCAGATTTCCAGATTACTGGATTTTACTGCTGTGCTGGTAGCCAACTCCAGGGCAAAAAGACACAAAATAATAAACTCAATTTCTTTACAGTAGAATTTGCTTTCATTACGTAATGTACAGATTGAGTTGTATTATGCTTCAAACAAATCCAAGTCATAGGAAAGAATTAAAGGTCTTACTTGTTATGTTCACAATAATAATGAACTCGTCTAGGTATAATAAAAAGGTTTTGTGAAAATGTACGTCTCAGTTTAGGAATGCGGTATTTGTAAAATGAATGACTCATACTTACTTCATACATTAACAATTTGCTTTCGTTCATTCATTACACTTCATACAGCCTTACACGGTCCGTTCTTGTCCTACGACATGAGTGTCTATTACTGTAACCTGTGCTGGTTAAATTTAGGCGCAAAAAGTGTCGCAATGGCAACTCTTTTAATCTTGTTGTAACTTACCATCCAGTCCTGGTTTTTAATGAAACTCAGAATTGGCTCAAAAGGGGGAAAAAAAAAACAGAAATTGTGAAAAATATTCACCTAAGCAACAATCACAGGTTGGTTATTTTATCCTATTTTTTGCCAAATCCAGGCAGTCAGGGATGTAAAGTGAAATAGCCTAAAATTAGCTTATTTCTCAAAATATCATAACTCTGAATCTGGGGGGCAGGTTGTGTTTATTTGTGCCTGCCAAAATAGCTACCAGAGGTTCTTAGCTGTAGGAGGACCGATACTGTCAGCTGGCACACCTTATTAAGGCAGAACTGCAGCTTAACCCTGAGCAATGTCTCAGACTCTGCGGCCTAACGTGCCCGCTGTACCGGCGGAGTGGAGAGGCGGCTGATCTCCCGAAGTTGAGCGCACACCTTGAGGCGCACTATTGTGGCCCTGTCACCCCTCACCCCCTTTGGACCAGTGGGGATCACCCCGTCCTCACTGGGGCATACAGCATCTGATGTGGAGATACCCTCGTGAAGGCCACATGGTACAACCAAGATGGCTACTGCGTTGGAGCTTCAGCCCAGCCAACCAGACCTCAAAAGTCAGGACTAGAGAGTATCGTTTGAATCAATTTGCCAGAAGTTCTGGCACCGACTCAGCGACCAACACATGGTATGCACTCCTCCTGCTACTCCTATCCCCACAGTAGCTAAATGCACCACCCATTGCGACTTCCAGGCAGCCGTCCGTGCACCCAAGGAGGTACTCAAAAATCGAGAACCCTGAGAGCACAAGATCCCGCCACCTTGAGATGGGGGAACTATGGAAATTGGGAACTAGCCCCCTTCAAACCCCAGAGCTGTAGTAACGGGGGCACAGTACTACCCGGAGACCTGCACAAGCTGTATAAACTCGTGTTGGAGGGGAAGAACACTGAACCTGGAGGAGAACAGACCTACCATCTGTGACATACCTGCGGTGTTGGGAGACCTGTCTTGGAGGCCTACTGCCACAGAGAGTATGGAGATCCTGCAAATAATGCAGACATTCCAGCCTACTCTTTGTGTACTCAGTTTCCCCTAACCTTTACTCGTACTCTCACTATTACTCTCGTCTCGTAAACCCAGTGACTGTCTACCTAGCTCACTGTTTGTTGGTGTAACAAGTTACTATCTCTATCTTCTCTCTGCAGACAAAATACCGAGCTTCATTTTACTTTTATTTTATTATTTCAATCATCGTGATATTGCATATATTATATTTGATATTTCTCCTGCAATGACTAAACTTGTGTTTACATCAGCCTGTTTGTTAATCAACGCACTTCAAAAAATAAAGAATGTCAGAACTCGGAATCTGCTCAGAAAGAGCTTGGAATAAAAAGAGTTTTCTTGTATAAATGTTGGAAATATCTTTTTAAATAAACCATGAGATTTGGATGACCAAGTGAAAAAAAAACAAAAAAAACTAAATGTGTCATAAGTTAAATAGACAGCTTCATGTGTAAGAAAGTCCGGGAAGATTTTGTAATATGTTAACCTTACACACAGGTGTAATATGTAATATGGTAACCTTACACACAGTTGTAATATGTAATATGGTAACCTTACACACAGTTGTAATATGAGATATGTAATATGTTAACCTAACACAGTTTCAGATTTTGTGAAATGGTCTTTTCTAAGTACAGAGCTTTACAGGCTGTGGACACCAGGGAACTGTCCACAAAAAGTGTAACGCAATTGCATTATTAGGCAAGCTTGTGCCACGCTAAGGCCACCAGGAGCGTGCAAAGAGCACAAAAACAGCGCTCCCTGTATTGCCTGCCCTCAGTGAGCTGGTCTGTGTGATTGGCAGGCAGATCAATATACACACACACAGACACACACATCACAAAAAATGGTAAGTGAAGTGGGCCTCTCCAGGAATTAAACTATAATTCTGAAATGCTGCAGGATTGGAGCCCAATCCACTGAGTGAACGCATCCGCACTTCAGAATCACATTCTTACAAATTAGGATTCCATTGGCTGTCCCACTGTTAAAAAGAACGCTACCGAATTGCAGTATTAGCCATAGACACATGAGGTTCCAAATAAATCAGACCACTCGAGGTTCACTTAAATCAATTTATTCAGTGTATTCCGTAATGATTTCTTAGACAGCGTACACTCAGTGAGATCTGGATGGCCCGCCCTCCACTCACCAGGGTATAGACCCTTATAGTGCAGGGAAGATTGAGCAATGTGCTGCGCTGCAATACCTTACACAACCCTCTGGTGCACAAAGGATTAAAATTCACAAAATATGACAGTTCCACGAATAAAGAGGGTTTCTCGTATTGAAGGAAGTTATCTAGCAACCACCAAATCATTGAAAAAAAATTCCTTAAAAAAACTAAATCCACAGTGACCCAGCACTATACGAAATGGTTAAATATAAAAAGGATCTCTGTGTCAATAAACCTTGACCCCAGCACGAATCGTGTCACCTCCGGGGTGGCACGGAATTGGCCAGAATCCAGCACCGGCCTCTCAGAGTCCATCTCTTGTTCTAATCATCGAAGCCCAGCTTGACAAAGACTGCCCAAATCACGACCAGCGCGATGACAAGCAGCATGTAGCGACAGACCCATCCTAGGTCCATAACCGGTATCTGCAATAATCAATTAAAGGAGTTAACCAATTACATCATAGCAACGCTAGCTTTAATTTTATTCTTACATTTACCATCAATATTATGCACAGACTTAAAGGGACACTATAGTCACCAAAACAATTTTAGTGTAATGAAGCAGTTTTGGTGTATAGACCAAAATATCTCTGAAATCTCACTGCTCAATTCTCTGCCATTTAGGAGTTAAATCACTTTTGTTTCTGTTTATGCAGCAATAGCCACACCTGCCCTAACTGTGACTGACACAGCCTGCATGAAAACAAAATGGTTTCATTTTCAATCAGATTTTAACTTGCTTTAGAAGTTTTAACCACTTAGTGACCAGACCGCTTTTCAATTTTCTTACCATTTAGGACCAGGGCACACATTTCTGTGGAGTTTGTGTTTAGCTGTAATTTTCCTCTTACTCATTTACTGTACCCACATATTATATACAGTTGTTCTCGCCATTAAATGGTCTTTCTAAAGATAATTATTTTCATGTTGTCATATAATTTACTATAATTTTTTTTTTTTATAAAATATGATGAGAAAATGTAAAAAACACACCTTTTCTAACTTTGACCCCCAAAAATTGTTATGCAGTTACAACCATCAAAAAACACCCATGCGGGGGCCGGACCGCCGAGCAGGATGGTCGCAAGCAACTTCAGCTCCTGCAAATTTCCACCCTATAAGCCCTTAAAGCATGATATATTCTGAGCTGGCAGACCGACAGCACTGGTCCCTTAGTATGCTGGGACCACTGGACCCAGGGAGAGGCTGACTCCCCGAGTTGCAGTCCCCTGGGGGAGAAATTGTCGCTCCAGATGGGGCCTTCTTTGGCGGTGAGTAGGGCAGACGGCCGCTGTCCTGCTATCCTGCCTGACAGTGCCTGGCCAGAGGTCCGGACCGGCGAGAACCTGGCTCTGCCCCCCCCCCTGGACCGGTGGGGGTGATCCCGGTCCCCACCCTGTGACCCTGAGAGCGGCAATGCAACTGGGGCCCAGCAGTACTACCAGCTTGATCTGCGGCCTGGGCACCCCACCTAAGATGGCGGACGCCACGTGCATCGAAACTTGCAAGATAAACTGCAGCCCCCAGGTACCCACAAAATACAACAAAGCAACCGGGCGCGAGCAAACCAAAGTCCCACAACGACCACCGGTAAACACCCGTCAAGATATCCCAGTACAACGTTTACCCCAAAGGTCACAGCACTGGAATATGGCTGCGACATAGGAGCAGGCCTGCAACAGACGGGAAAAGCGGGGATGCGGCAAACCAGCAACCACAGCACGGAATAACCCACGGCAAAACAGGGCACTGAAGCATGTGCCTCTGACACACCGATCACCCACACAAAGTGCTGCGACACACAACACCCCGACCATCAATGAAGACACCACGCTACATACCGACAGCCGGCCAGCAAGGGGCCCCTCTCAACGCATGGAAGGCTCCAGCACAGCGAGAGTCCACCCTGCACCACCGCTCTGTCGCCTCCTCTCCGGTTGTCTCCCCTACAGCGAAAGAATCTACAGCTCAGCCTCGGAATGGAGTGGGCTGAGGGCCGGCACGGAGCGCACAGAAGCGGGATGCTGCAGGCTACTGCCAAATCCTTCCTGCACCGATACATTACAGGAGGCACCCAACAGGACTTGGACACTGTCGATGACTGGCTTGCCGGGGTAATCTATTATGTAGCTGGTACTAGCTGGACATGTTTCACTGGCCCACTAGGGCAGCCTAATACCTTTACTTATTATTATTTAACAGGATGCGTTAGTTTAGATCGCCAGTATAGCCCAATATGTGAATGTCTTCTCCACTCTTGGCATGATCTGTTTCTCCTGGTATACCGGAGTAACCCAATATGCACCTATTCAGTATACTATGTTTGCTAAACTTGTCTGAGTAACTTACTTTATACATGTACCTAACGTGGGGGGACTACCTAGCTTGTTAGAGCACAAAGACCAGCCTTCACATATACCTGCTCAAAAAGTGGACACCACACGTCTCTTCCTTACAAACACTAGGCAATAGACGTGCACTTTACGTCAACCCTTTAAACATGAGTACTAATACTACACCTGTAGAACGTAATCAGGCAACTCATAAGATAGCAAGCTACACACTATGGGCTCACTCAAAACACCTCCACTACTCCGCTCTTTACGGCGCAGGGTTGGCAAAGCATGTCGGACACAGAAACAATTAGTCACCTCAACACAATATATACCAACAAAAGCATAATGTTTTCGCCTACACCTGTTATAATACATTTAAAACTGTGCACTACTTATCTTTACCCCACTTGTGAAATCTGTAACAAAGCTCGAGGAATGCCTTTGGGGTACCTTGAGCCTGTCTGTACCAAACTTCTGCACTGCAAAAATAAAAAATTTAAAAAAATAAAATAAAAAAAAACACACCCATGCTAAATAGTTTCTAAATTTTGTCCTGAGTTTAGAAATAATGTTAACATATTCTTAGCTTTTTTTGGAAAGTTATAGGGCTATAAGTACAAGTAGCACTTTGCTATTTCCAAACCATTTTTTGTTTTCAAAATTAAGTTACATTGTAACATTGATATCTGTCAGGAATCCCTGAATAACCCTTCACATGTATATATTTTTTAAAAGAAGACAACCTAAGGTATTAAACTTGGGGTATATTGACTCTTTTCATGGAACCATTTTACCACAAATCTATGGCAAATTAAAAAAAATAATTATTATTGGTGTTTTTTTTGACACACATAGCAATTTAAGAATACATGTACAGAGAACTTTAAGGTTTACTGCCAAAGAACACCCCAATATGTATTCAGCAACTTCTCCTGAGTACAGTGATACCACCCATGCATATCAAAGTTACTAACGACCTAATCGCCGCTAAATCCAAAGGCCACTACTCCATACTAATTCTTCTTGACCTCTCCGCGGCCTTTGACACCGTTGATCATGCTCTCCTTCAAACTCTTCAGTCGCTTGGTCTCTGTCCTCGCGTGGTTTTCCTCTTATCTCTCCCAACGCTCATTCAGTGTCTACTTTTCTAATGATACCTCCTCCCCTTGTCCGGTCTCGGTTGGAGTCCCCCAAGGCTCTGTCCTTGGTCCCCTTCTATTTTCTTTTTATACTGCCTCTCTTGGCAAACTTATTACCTCTTTTGGATTCCACTACCACCTGTATGCTGATGACACCCAGTTATATCTCTCCTCCCCAGACCTCTCTCCTGCCGTCCTGCAACGTGTCACTGCTTGCCTTTCTTCCATCTCTGACTGGATGTCCTCCCACTTTCTGAAACTCAATCTCTCTAAAACTGAGCTCCTTGTCTTTCCTCCTCCTAAAACTGATCCTCCTCTTTCGCTCTCTCTTAAAGTTTGTGGTACCCATATCAGTCCATCCTTGCAAGCGCGCTGTCTTGGCGTCATACTTGATTCTGGCCTCACCTTTGAGCCTCAGATCCAGCATGTTGCCAAATCCTGTAGATTACATCTTAAAAACATAGCCCGCATCCACCCCTTTCTTACACAAGATGCTACCAAGGAGCTTGTCCATGCTCTAATAATTTCCCGCATGGATTATTGTAACCCTCTCCTGATTGGTCTTCCCAAAAGCCATACTGCATCTCTACAGTCCATAATGAACACTGCTACTAGACTGATTTTCCTCTCTGGTAGTTTCTCTCAAACCTCACCCCTCTGCCAGTCCTTACATTGGCTTCCTGTATGCTATAGGAGTCAACTCAAGGTACTAATTCACACCTATAAAGCACTGAACAACTCTAGCCCCTCTTATATTTCCTCACAGATCCATAGGTATGTCCCTTCTCGGTCTCTCCGCTCTGCCCGTGACCACCTTCTGTTCGTTGTCCGCACCCGTACAGCCAACTCACGCTTGCAGGACTTCTCGCGGGTGGCTCCCTTCCTATGGAATAGCCTGCCTCCCGCCATCAGACTCTCCCCTAGTCTTGCATCTTTTAAGAAGTGCCTTAAAACCCATCTCTTTAGGAAAGCTTATGGCCTCCAAAACTAACCTCTACTTCACATACCTGTCTCTTGCTCGATCCTAAAGGGCAGCCAATCTTATTTCACTGCAAATTCCTGTCCTAATGAGCAGGGTCCTCTTCAACCTATTATTCCCATAAGTTTTTTTTCATAATTGTCCTATTTATAGTTAAATCCCCCTTTCATAATTTTGTAAAGCGCTACGGAATCTGTAGGCGCTATATAAATGGCAATAATAATAATAATAATAATAATAATAGGTGTTAGGGATGTGCATGGGAAAAAAATTTGGTTAGATACGGCAATCTGAAATTCGGGACTTTGGAAATTCGGCAATTCCCTACCCATAACCCTATCCCTAACCCCACCCCTAGCCTAGCCCCTAACCTTAACCCCAACCTTACTAGAGTTAGGAGTAGGGTTAGGGTTAGATTCTTGTCATCATTCCCTTAATTTTCCCTCCCTCACCTATTTTGCCACTTTTCAGAAATCCGAAGCACTTGTCAATTTAAATTGGACCGAAACGAATTGCACATGTCTAATAGGTGTGTCGGGTTCTCTGGGGCTAAAATACCTTATTTGGAGGGTGCACATTCCAGTTTTCCAACTTGGTATTTCTACAGCTGGTCATCATGCACCCATGTCCTATTTGGGACATTTTTGAAGCCGGCCAATATAATTTACCCCCATCAAACCATATATTTTTTTAAACGAAGACACCCTAGGATATTTCAAATGTCGCTATTTTAACATTTCCATGCACTAATTCTACCACCAGTCTTTGTCAAACGTTTGGGTAGTCATTTTATTGTGTTATTTTTCTCTCACATTGTACTTAAGGCATGGATTCTCAGTTTGTGTTATGTGTTACTGACAAAGAACACCCCAATATGTGTTCAGCAACATCTCCAGACAGTGCCCCCAATGTATAGCAGCCCAGGAATGAAAATTAACCCAATCATGGCATACTATTTGTAAAAGTAGACAACCCAGGGTATTCCAAATGGGGTATTTCCAGTCTTTTGTAGTAGCTACTCAGTCACAAACACTGGCCAAAGTTAGCGTTCATATTTGTTTTTTGCATTTGTTTTTACACAAGAACTCAACTTTTACTGGTGATTTCATCGTCGTGATAAGTTTTACTGTTTTAAACACTTATATTTGGGTTCAGTGAAGTCTCCCGAGTATAACAATAAAAAAAAGTTACAGGGTCAATATAGGGCTGGCCCAATTCAGTTTGCCAGATTGGTTTGGTGGACCTTAGTCACAAACGCTGGCCAAAGTTAGCGTTTTTATTTATTTTTTTAAATTTATATTTTATGTATGTATGTCTGTCTGTCAGTCAACGGCGTACATACCGCGGTCGCAGGGTTTCAGCTGCGACCAGGCCCGCCACTCCAGGGGGCCCGACCGCCCTGTGGACCCCTGTGACCGGGTATCCGCCGCCATCATCTCCTGCGGCCCACGCGGCAAACCTCCGGTGCCGCTGTCCAAGGGGTCCATGCTGTCAGGGCCACCCGATTAATATGGATTGTCAGGGGGCCCAGTAAGCACTGGGTGCTTTAACAGCATGACCGGGCCCCCTGTGATGACATCACAAGCTGGGAGGAAGTGACCGCACGTCACTCCTCCCAGCTAACACTGAGAGCCGCGCGGGAGGAAGCAGAGGGAGTCAGAGTGGGAACTATGACTCCCATCCACCTGAGCCACCACTGGACCCCAGGGAAAGTCACCCTCCTGCACCTTAAAGGTAGGAAACAGGAGGGTAACTTAAACATTTTGTGTGTGTGTGTGTTTGTATGTATGTGTGTCTGTCTGTGTGTGCCTGTCTGTATGTGTGTGTCTGTGTGTCTGCGTGTGCCTGTCTGTGTATGTATGTGTGTCTACCTGTATGTGTGTGTGCTTGTTTGTTTGTATGTCTGTCTGTCTGTATGTCTGTCTGTCTGTGTCTGCCTGTGTGTATGTGTGCCTGTCTGTTTTTTTATGTATGTGTCTTTGTATGTATGTGTCTGTTTGTATGTATGTGTCTGTGTGCCTGTATGTGTGTCGGTCTGTATGTATGTGTCTGTCTGTATGTATATATGTGTGCCTGTCTGTTTGTATGTGTCTGTGCGTATGTGTGTGTCTCTTTGTATGTGTGTGTGTCTGTCGGGGGCAGGGCCTCTTTTCGGGCCCGTGGTTTGTGTATATATATATATATATATATATATATATATATATATATATATATATATATATATTGGAAGGCATGACCTGAAGTTGTGGGAGGGGCTACTTACCTTTGTTGGTCAGACGAATAGACTGTTCAAGGTCAGCATTTTGAGATCCACTTCCAGGTCATACAAGACGCCATTTTGGTTTCACCTCTGCTCCATGAGGTCTCCTACTCCAAGCTGTGTCCAGGAATCCTGCAGCAGGGCTTTATGTTAATCCAGTGGCTTTCTCTACGGTCAGCATCGTATTTGGTGTCTCAGGGACTCTCAAACCGTAAGTTGATCCACCTGTCACACCAGGATTAGTTCCCACGGCGTTCAGCACAGCACGGGTCCTCACTTTATGGTTTCCTTTCGTTTTGCACGGTTATTTAGTTACCTTATACTTGTGGCGGAACCAGCCTCGCCACTGTCCACTGGAGGAGCCTGGTTGCTCGCCTGCTCCCTTTAGACTATGGCCCGGCATTTAAAACCTTTTTATTTTCCCTGCAGAAAGGCTTATTCGTGCCTTTCTGCCGGTGTGTGTTTGGTAGATTCAATCTACCGAACAAAGTACCGAATGATCGACCACCTGGGAACTGGAGTGTGCCGTCAATTGACCGCCCAGAAGCTGCGGTTAACCTCGGCTTATTTGATGAACGCTGGGTGGCCTTTGTTCATTTGCCGAACACGTGGCAGTGGCCATTTTAACTCCCGAACGGCCAGTGGTGTTCAGCGCCCAAACTATGGAACTGGAAATGGACACTTATTTGCGCAAACAGGGCTGTAGTTTAACCGTATGAACAGCATCACCCCAGATAGCTATGCCATAGAGTCCATTCGTGCAACGAAAGACTATGGGAAAGACTTTGGCTCCATGGAGATTGAACTGTATGTATGTGATCTGAGCGCCATTCGGTAATAATGTGCGCTCAGATCTAATCTATCTGGGGATGTGTAGAATGTGTATGTTTTAGGTGAAAGAGGTAACCGTATGTAATTTTATGTCTTTTTACTGAAAATGTGTGTAATGGAGTTTTTCCTCTGTCCTTGGAGATAATTGGATTACTTCCCAATTACCTCCAGGACAGAGAGGAGGGATTATGATGCATTGTGGGATTGTAAGCTTGTGATTGGTCAATGTCCAATATGTTTCCCAGTCTTCCATCTGGTCCCCTAGGGGGTGTCCACCAGGTGGGAGACCTGCATAAAAGCCAGGCATGTAGCCCCAGTAAATCAGTTCTGCTTGACCCTCAAACAAAGTGTCGTCTCGTTCTTGGGAATTGGATGGTATGCTGTTACATTGCGACTGCCAGGAGTGTAAACTGTTCGTATGGTTTTTCCTGTTCAGCTGTTTACAGCATTCGTGTGTTTCCTGTTCAGGAGTTTGGAGCATTCCCCTGGTTCCAATTCGGGAGATTGGTGAATTCATGTGTTTGCAATTCGGGAGATTGGTGAATTCATGTGTTTGCAATTCGGGAGATTGGTGAATTCGTGTGTTCGCAGTTCGGGAGATTGGTGAATTCGTGTGTTCGCAGTTCGGGAGATTGGTGAATTCGTGTGTTCGCAGTTCGGGAGATTGGTGATTGCAGTAGCTGTCTGTGCATCTGAAAAGGGGAATATCGCCTAAACGGTTTTTAACCTCTTGTGTGTAAAACGGTCCGTTACAATACTCACCTAGCTGTTCATGTAAAATCTGTTTTGGTTAAAATCTGTTGGGTTGAAATCTGTTCGGTTAAAACTACAAACGAAATACAATTTTTTCGCCTACACACTGACCCCTACCGGTCTTTTGGTGTACTACAGGCTTCTTAGACATTATCGCATTTCATGTACAAATCAACGAACCACTGCATTTGCGCCTACACACTGACCCCTATTGGTCATTCGGTGTACTACAGGCTTCTCAGACATTATTGCATTTCATGTATAAACCAACGAACCACTGCATTTTTGCCTACATGCTGACCCCTACCGGTCAATCGGTATACTACAGGCTTCTCAGACTTTATTTCACTTCATAAGCAAACAAACTAACTACAGCATTTTCGCTTTTATACTGACTCCTATCTGTCAAACGGTATACTACAGGCTTTTCAGACATATGGTTATTCCCCTCATAACATTCCCACTATAATTATAAGTACACAATAACACTTCCTTACAAATCATGCTTGCTATGATATAATCATTCCTGCATACCTGCCTACATAGGCATTTAGTTACATTTACTGACAATACGCATACATTTACCCAAGAATGCACATACTATTTAAAGCACAATGCAGGATTCCAGAGTCTAATACGGAATACTTGCATGTTTGCACGCTTAAAATATAAGTCCTTCCAATTACGTATTTTCACATATTAGGTTATTCAGCTGCCAGTCATGGTTCACTACACTCCTGTTTTCGGGGTACAGTTGTATTCCATATCACAAATGATATAACACTCCCGACAAGTTAATTTTTTTCAAACAGGGGCATTACAAGCATACAATAAACATTTCGATGAAGCACTTTGCTCTATTAAACTTGCATAACACACATATGGGTATATGCTTTTAAATGTCTATATTCAATTTTCATAAATTATCTTACCCGTCCAGGATACAGGTATTATTAACCCTTACGACCAGTAAGGGTATCTAATTATACTACTAGGTACATAAACCTGCTCATTTGGTATATACATACATTTTCTATTTCCCCCTGGGTATATCCTTAGCGTATTGGCAATAGGTATTCTCCTTTCTTGGCATCTACACCGGTCGTATAGTGGTCCCGCGAGGCCAACACCCCGCCTCAACGCTCGGAGGCAAACACCCATCGGGCCACTCGTGAGCTAGCCGCCTCACACGGTATATAGAGGGGCCTCACCTGTCACTCCCTTCCCCTTTTTTCTGGTTACAGTCACCGAGAGGCCAACATCCTGCCACTACGTTTGGTGGCCACAAAAACCTCCTCGCGACATTGCATAGTTAAAGCCTCTCAAGCCACTTGGCAACTAGCAGGGCCTCACCTGTCACCAAACAAAGGATTAATTGTTTCGCCTTGCGGCTTTAGCTAGCAAGCCAGTACTAGCACACTGTGGGTTCATATAATAATGGCTATCTTCATGTTTTTAGTATGTATCAAGCAGGTGGTAAGGATTTATCTCTACCTAACACTCCAGCTAGCGTCAACACACTTTCACTTGGAGAAGATGTTGCTAGTCCCACAGGACAATTTTGTCCCAACACAGCGGACGATCACGTTTCAGGCTCCAGGCTCTAGCACCTCTGGTAGTACGTAGAGAACTACCAGATACAAATTGGGTCGTCTCATTCTCTTTGACAAATCCCAGATTTGCAACAATTTCCATGTTGGCACATGTAGTTTCAGTGCATGCAGACTGTTGTAGATATGTTCTCAATATGTCAGGGCACATGCAAAAACCACGTGTCCCAATAAATGTACCCTGAACCTTACTTCACGTCTGTAAACATTAGGCATTTCCAGTACTTTCTAACTCATCACCCTTCCAGACATTTAATTGATTTCCTAATCTCCGAATTTTAAAGGCCTTCCGTACAGGTATTGCCATATACTTTTGGGGGAATCTAGAATGCCCTAACTTGCATTCATCACAGCAGCATCCAACAGCTGGCATTACACTCATGGCCCAAAAAATGGCAGAAAGATTTCTACCTGGGCCTCTCCGATCTACACCATTTACAGCGTGGCGCAATCCCATTGGGATTGTCACAGGGAATCTTCCCTCACACTGTAACTGATCATAGACTTATCTGCACCTCACGCCTTGGCTACCCCAAGTCTCAACTCCTTCATACCCTCCGAGAAGTTTTCATTACAGTATGCCACCATTGTTCATACCATGACAACTATCACTCAAGCAGGGAGGGGAAGCCTGGTTAAGTAAAACTAATATCACAAACGCATTTCAGACTGCCACCATCCACCCTACACTGGCACTTACAGAGCATTTATGGGCAGCAGTTATATATTTCTTTTCCCGCTTAATTTTCGGGTCAAGAGCAGCTCACAATCTTCAATATATTCGTTGAACTCTTTGCTGGTTGTGGTTAAACATATCCAGATGCCCCACAGTCATACAGTCACAAGATGATTTCTTGTTGATCAAAGGGAACGCCTTTCCCACTAGAAACTTCAAGGAAGCCATTAGTATGTCTGAACACTTGGGTGTCCCAGTATTCCCTAAGGTCACAGAAGACCCAGACACTATCATTACATTCCGGGGCACACAACTTGACTCAGCATCCATGCCAACAAGTTACCACGTGAGAAATAGGAACAGTCGCAACACCAATTACCACCTTCTGCTTGGTACTTGCAACCGCATGGAACTACAATCCCTACCAGGTTCCTTAAATTTTGCCATGCGCATCATACCGCAGGCCGTGCTTTCATCTAAGACCACTTTGCTTTTTCCACACTTTCGCATGATGATCAGGGGCTGTCCCTAGACAACCAAGCCACGGCAGACCTACACATATGGTGGACTTTCTTAACCACACGTAATGGTAAACTATTGTGGCAGCTGCCGTGACAGCCGCCATGGCAGGGGGGTCACTTATGGTCAAGGTCATGGATTACATTAACCTCGCCAACATAGCCGGGCTCTGACTAAACTGGCCTTGTCCACCAGCACTCAACACGCTTGCTACAGGGTTTTCCACTTACAGTATATACTCAAGTATAAGTCTAGTTTTTCAGCACATTTTTTGTGCTTAAAAACCCCCACTCGACTTATACTTGAGTCACTGTCTGTATTATGGCAACTTAGAGAGCCGCGGCCCTCAGAGCCATGGCAACGATCCGCGCGGCAACCAGACCGCGAGACTTACAGTGGAGCTGACCGGAACGGAGGAGAAGGGAGCTGACAGGAGCTGCAGGAAAGGTAAGTAAATGCTTCCTGCCGGCCCCCCCACTTCACAGCCCATGCCACTGGACCACCAGGGATTAAGATAGCCCTCCTCCCTGACTAGTTAACAAGCAGGGAGGGGGGACAAAAAAAAATTAAAATAATAAAAAAAATAATAATATTAAAATAAAAAAAATTAAAATAATAAAAATGCCCTCCCCCCACCCAGTTCACACACATTACACTAACACACACTCTGCATTATATACACAGAGTGTGTGTATATAATGCAGAGTGTGTGTTTGTATGAGTGTGTGTGTGTATATATATAATGCAGAGTGTGTGTTTGTATGTGTGTGTGTGTGTGTGTATATATATAATGCAGAGTGTGTGTTTGTATGAGTGTGTATGTATATAATAGGACAATGATAAATGCAGTCTGTCTCAGAATGTACTTAAGATTAGCTGCATAACCTGGAAATATATATAACGGTATAGTGTAGTCCAAACCCTGGCTTACTAATCTATAGAAGCTGTTAGAGACCTATAGTAAGAAAATAGTAAAAAATAAATAAAGTATATACAAGTGGTACTGAAATTCCATGCCAACCCGGGATGTAATCGATAGGGATATCAAGATATAACCTATACCATAGCTACACCCTAATTATCAGCTTTATTATAATTTGCTATTGGGGTATGAGTATCCAAAAAGTTAAATCCCATACGATTATCTATCCTAGGAAATGTCTAGTATTCAAATATATATAACATAGGCTCAGAATCGAGCTATTGCAGATAGATAGGAGGATAGAGGTAATTGATAAATGAAAAACCAGTCAAAAAAGTAGACTGATAGTTTAAATTAAATTAAAAAGCCTCTCTCCCTGTTAATCTAACTAGACAGGCATAGAACAGAAATAGAGATAAATTAAATACAGTGCAAAATCATGGTGCTACATCCACCAGTGCCCAGTGCTCATATCAGTGATATGAGAAGAAAAATGCCCAACGCACGTTTCGGTGCTAAAGAGATGCACCTTCGTTCATCAGTCTACTTTTTTGACTGGTTTTTCATTTATCAATTACCTCTATCCTCCTAGTTATCTGCAATAGCTCGATTCTGAGCCTATGTTATATATATTTGAATACTAGACATTTCCTAGGATTGATAATCGTATGGGATTTAACTTTTTGGATACTCATACCCCAATAGCAAATTATAATAAAGCTGATAATTAGGGTGTAGCTATGGTATAGGTTATATCTTGATATCCCTATCGATTACATCCCTGGTTGGCATGGAATTTCAGTACCACTTGTATATACTTTATTTATTTTTTACTATTTTCTTACTATAGGTCTCTAACAGCTTCTATAGATTAGTAAGCCAGGGTTTGGACTACACTATACCGTTATATATATTTCCAGGTTATGCAGCTAATCTTAAGTACATTCTGAGACAGACTGCATTTATCATTGTCCTATTTTTTGTTTACTTGGGGTTAAGCCCCTTTGAGATACCTGGAGTCTCGTTTCGGTACACTAGTCCCTGTGTGGCACCTGTTAATCTCTCCCCCCCCCCTTTTTTCCACTCTGGGGGCAGTACATACAGGTGTGTACACAGAGACGTAGAACCTTGTGTTCTTTGCTTTTTTCTTGTGTGTATATAATGCAGAGTGTGTGTTTGTATGAGTGTGTGTGTGTGTGTATATAATGCAGAGTGTGTGTTTGTATGAGTGTGTGTGTGTATATAATGCAGAGTGTGTGTTTGTATGAGTGTGTGTGTATATAATTATAAAAATCACAGAATTTCATAGCCCCAAGTTTTACCCTCGACTTATCCACGAGGCACAGCATATTTCACAATTGTTGGTCACAAAACTGCACTCGACTTATACATGAGGTCGACTTATACACGAGTATATACGGTATACAATACGTTTCATGTCGGACCATCACTTAGCTGGTTTGAGGTTTCACCACTTATGGCCTTCACCTCTTTTTGCCACCTTAAGTTAAAAATTCATGCACAACACAGTTAAACTTATCTCACAGGCATTCATCACTATACGTATTTCTCCTTCCCAAGCAACATGGGTTCCTATCCTCCTACCCCATCCATACCTTACTTAGAGACATAGCTAAGCGGACGTTCCCGCTACTGTACTAAATACTGGCCATAGACATACAATCTTCAAACCATGTCAGAACCACTCGACCATGCACCTTCCGAGCCATGCACCAATGCAGTTATCAAAACTGCTACCTATCTAGCCTTTAACGGCTTTCTCAGGCCAAAAAATAACTCACTTTCAGTGGCCAACATCATAAACAAGAGTGCCTGTTGACCTCTTATCTTCTAAAATACACAGACCACTATGTCCGGTCCCTTCCTAAAACTAAGACGAGTCAGATGGGAGAGCCAGTGCATATTACCTACTACCTACTACCTTATAAGCAATGCTGGGTGCCCAGTTAAGGTACTGGTTACGTTCTTGGGCATGCAACCATATGCACCACTGAACCATTACTGTCGCTGTATGATACACCTACTCATTCACTGAGCTCGAACCAAACCCTAGCGACTACTCAGGGCACTCCTTTAGGATAGGAGCAGCCTCCACGGCCTATAGCTAAGACATCCCCACACACGTTAAGACACGGGGCCGCTGGGAATCATAGGCTTATGCGACTTACATACCACGGCCGATTCAGGAATTAGGAAGCTTTCATTAAAATGTCTACCTGATGATTAACAAATGCACTATGATCCTGTATAATGTTTTGCATTAATATGTCTTTCTTTGCCCACTTTTTACTGGCCTACAGCATTCATCGGTTTCGGCACACCTCAACTGATTATTCCTAAAGCTACATCTCTACAACCCATCTTATTCTGTATCATATGAGAATGCCCCGAACACAAATCTATATATATTATAAGTAGTAAGAGGCTTGCACTCACGTTTATTTGAAATAGAAAAAGTCTCCTTTATTGTATATCCATTAAAAACTGATCAACGTTTCAGGCCCCATCCATGGCTTTCCTCAGGATCAATACATCACACACCTGAGGAAAGCCATGGATGGGGGCTGAAACGTCCATCAGTTTTTAATGGATATACAATAAAGGAGACTTTTTCTATTTCAAATAAACGTGAGTGCAAGCCAAGTGCAAGCCAGACACACACACACCCCCCCAGACACACACACCCCCCCCAGACACACACAGCACCCCCCAGACACACACAGCACCCCCCCATCACAGCCCCCAGACACCCACAGCATCCCCAGACACACACAGCACCCCCAGAAACCCACAGTACCCCAGAAACCCACAGCACCCCTCAGACACAAACAGCACCCCCAGACACCCACAGCACCCCCCAGACACACACAGCACCCCCAGACACACACAGCACCTCTGACACACACAGAGTTAACAGACAAAGAAAATTAGAAACCTAGAATGTGACGGCAGATAAAAACACCCTCACACACAGCACCCCTCTTACACAAACACACTGCGCACCTCACACATACAATATGTCCAAATATATTCTAAATATATATACACACACACTACAGCACCCCTCAAACTGCACCACTACACACATAACGCTCCAGATACACGCTAGATCCCTTACCCTATATGCACTCTTAATCCTCTACACACACACACACACACACACACACAATCTTCTATACACACTCTGGGTCCTTTACACACACACACACTGCACCACCTACACACACTCTACATTCCTTGTAAGCAAACACATACAACATTCTCTAAACACACCCTCTCTACAACCCCTACACACGCTACGTCACCTATACACACACACACACTACTGCCCGTATGTACACACTCGCTACATCCCCTATAACACTATGCCCCTATACACGCACTCTCTACAACCCCTAGCCACATATTACACCACAAAATTGACCTATTTACACAGTACCACACCACACTCTACACACACGCAATCCCACAAGCATGCGCCAAACACATGCACCATACACTTTCCTGGCCCTTTTGTCCTCTGGTATCCCACTTGTGGAGACACCAGAGACAATTTAAAAGCTAACACAGCGCAAGCATGTTATTACATTTGCTTGCGCTGCGCAGAACAAATTCAGGGCCTTTTTCTAATGCCAGAGCTCTTCAGCGGGGCTCTGTGCATTGAACCAACATGCTCACTTTGAGAGGGGGCGTGTTGTCATTAGTGATGACAAAACACACCCTCTCCGGCCCCGCCCCCTTCTTGGGGGGCCGCTCTAATTGAAAAATGCCCGGGCCTAATTTTTTTCCCAGTCCGGCCCTGGCACACAGGAACAGAGGGGTTGAGGGCCCTGCTCAATGAGCTTACATGCTAGAGGGAGTGGGGTAAAATGACACAAAAAGGTAAGGATAGTATTAAACTAGTGACAGCTGCAGAAGAGGAATCAGTCAGGAGCTATTAACAGTTTAATTGATACGCTTTTACACACAAATACGTGTGTGTGTGTGTGTGTGTATATATATATATATATATACACACACACACACACTTATTTCCTAAATATTTATAATATAATTAAAGCATTTTAGAATATATTATACATATATATAATGCATACATATGATTTCATTATAAGTGTATTTTGAGATATATGTGTCCGCGGTCCTAAGGACAGTTTTTTGTCGGATGTATCTCATACGACCGCGGTCCTTAAGGGGTTAACTCCTGCTCTGTAAATTGAACTTACATACAGGTGGCTCCTGCAAGGTCAAGCAATCTATTAACAGAACATGAGATAAGAAATTCTAAAGTAAACTGACTGTGTAATAAAGAAAGTGTAAACATTAGATGACTCTTTACAGGAAATGTTTAGGAAGGCTGTGTTAGTCACAAGCAGTGAGATGTGAATAGGGCTACATAAACAAAGAGATTTAACTCCTAAATGGCAGAGAATGGAGTAGTGAGATTGAGGGACATAATCTATACATTAAGCTAAAGTTGTTTTGGTGGATATAGTGTCCCTATATAGGATATAACAATAAACACATGCAATGCTTGCTTCTGTGTCCTTATTAAAATCATGACTAAATGACAAACTAGTAAAATCTTGTAAGTTACGAAAAATTAAAATATTGTACTGGCCAATGACTGTGTAGGTTTTTTACATGTCCTCGTCACCCTCAATTCACATGAGAGATACGTAAACACTTACCGGGTGTGATCGACCCGTGATTTCAACATGATCCACACGGCTTGGAAAATTCTTAACACTTCTTAACACGTTTAGAACAAACGCTTGGCAATTACTGACAAATCTCCTGGAAAATCACAGATAACACAATATGGATTAATCCGCTTTATAAATGCTGCCTCGCTCCAAACACACTGTATACCTCTTTATAAAGACAGCCTCCCTTCTCACACGCTGTATACCTCTTTATAAAGACAGCCTCCCTTCTCACATGCTGTATACCTCTTTATAAAGACAGCCTCCCTCCTCACACGCTGTATACCTCTTTATAAAGACAGCCTCCCTCCTCACACGCTGTATACCTCTTTATAAAGACAGCCTCCCTCCTCACACGCTGTATACCTCTTTATAAAGACAGCCTCCCTCCTCACACGCTGTACACCTCTTTATAAAGACAGCCTCCCTCCTCACACACTGTATACCTCTTTATAAAGACAGCCTCCCTCCTCACACGCTGTATACCTCTTTATAAAGACAGCCTCCCTCCTCACACGCTGTACACCTCTTTATAAAGACAGCCTCCCTCCTCACACACTGTATACCTCTTTATAAAGACAGCCTCCCTCCTCACATATTGTATACCTCTTTATAAAGACAGCCTTCCTCCTCACACACTGTATACCTCTTTATAAAGACAGCCTCCCTCCTTACACGCTGTATACCTCTTTATAAAGACAGCCTCCCTCCTCGGATAATCTAATTTGCGCTGTCTATGATTGGCAGAAACGGACTCAATACCTACGCAATTATGGGTCTAATTATTTTATTTATTAAGACTGGCATATTCAGCTGAACTGTACAATGAGATATTAATTAAGCTATTGTAGGCTAGGGTTGTAAAAAACAAATCATTGTCTACAGCAGCCGCTGAGCAAATAAAGACAATGAAATAAATAGATTTATATATTATCACGAGTCAGGTTTAATAGTTAAAGGGACACTGCCCAAATAATAATAATAAAAATTGCTGTTTAGTAGATATACCCCACAATGAACACATGCATGTATTTAATTATGCATTTCTTTAATTGAGCAATATATCTAAAAACATCTTGCAAACATTGCAGGTCTCTTGTACGCAGCCCTCCCCTTCTAACCCCGCCCAGACTTTTTGTGGCTGTCCAATCACAGACTTCCCAATGCAGCTCAATGAGAAATCTTTGCAAGGCAGGTGCTCTGAGCAATTGCTGACTCTTGAGTTTAGCTTCACTGAGCTAACCAAACCAGGAAGTAACAGGATCGTCTGTCTGATTGGCAGCCAGGAGAAGTAACCAAGTTAGTTTCTAAAAGTGTACATTTCGAGTGGAATCTGCACTTTTTGTAAAATGGAAAAAAAGAGGACAAACTCTTAACACATAACACACCTCAACAAGCTACATTGTGAGAGGCTGCATGTGGGGTTGTGTGCGTGTATGTGAATTGTCAGTGGTGTTGTGTTTGTGGGGACGGTGTGTGCGTTTGCGTGTGGGCTGTTTTTATTATTTGTATGAGGGGAGTGTTATTCCGCAGCTCTGTGTATATCTAGCCTTGAGTGCCATTGGTTGCTGACCCCTGCCTAGGAACACCTCTGGTGGCAGTCACTGAGGCAGCCACTAGAGGTGCTGTTTTAGAATCCAGTGTTGCACACTGTGCTGATTCAATGCATCTTTATGAGGAGATGCTGATTGGCGCAGAGCACGTTTTACCGCAGAGCGCGTTTTCCTGTGGGAAAGCATTGGATTGGCTGAGATGATAAAGTTTGATGAGAAGGGGGAGAAGCCTGGGTGGGGCCAACCAAGACCAGACCTGCACCGCACTGGGAAAAGGTGAGTAAATCACCTTTTTAACCAGAGGTAAGGCGTGCCTGCGGGATTAAGTTATTTTGACCTATAGTGTCAGGAATACCCAATTGTATTCCTGACACCATAGTCTTCCTTTAAGGGGGGTTGTCTCAAACAGAATAAAGATTAATTTAATTGAGAAAGCATTCAAAGTAATGTCCCTCACAGGCGCTGCCATCTCGATCCTTTTCAGCACGGACATCACTGCTGTATCCTCACATATGTGCAAGAATAAAGCATTGAAGTCTATGTGGGAATCCAGTGAGACCACGGGATCCTCCATAGACAGCCAATTCCCTGCAACCATCACTGATTACGACTCTTGGACTCCACCTTGTGCCGAAGAAAGTGAGGTGGGGGAAAATCCCTACTTTGACTCTGTAAATCTCTTGACTGGGTTGGTACTTCAGTGAAATTCCAACACAGTCAAAACGGGTATTTCATAAAGATTTTATCTTATACTCATTTTTCAGGAGTGGTGACAGAGCTGCTTTAAGTTCCCCTAGAGAACATAGCGCAGAGAGGAAAATGGATGTTATTGGAATGGGGTTTATTCACTAAACAACAAATTGTAGCAAACTGAAAATCAAATTTCAGAATGTAGGTGATAATATCCAAGACCTGTAGATTGTAAAGTGAATGTGTGAATGAATCTTCACCTTGTGTCTTTCAGTATGAATAATCAGATCACACACAAATAAAAACCACGTACATGGAGGCTCGAACCACCCTCGCCATGCTGCTTTGGCGTCTTGTTTCAAACGTCCTGTTAAGTTCATCACCGATAACCGCCAATCTCTGGCCAATCTGCACTGCAGAGCTGTATGACGACACGTAGAGAGGAGATATTAATACAATATAAGCAATACAGCACCACAATGTGCTCCAGAACCGTGCAAATATGATGGATTTAACTTGCAGTATATATGTGATGTATTTAACTTGCAGTATATATGTGATGTATTTAACTTGCAGTATATATGTGATGGATTTAACTTGCTGTTATATATGTGATGGATTTAACTTGCAGTATATATGTGATGGATTTAACTTGCTGTTATATATGTGATGGATTTAACTTGCAGTATATATGTGATGTATTTAATGCACAATACCTGTATTTTTTTCTTTTTATCATTTAGGAGTAGTTAAGGGGACACTAAGCACTTAACCAGCCTATTGTAGCAATCATGTTCCAAGGAAATTGCTGATTATTTGAACACTGCGGAGCCCTGGGTTTACATAAAATAGGGGGCCATCATCCAAAGGCTCACAGCACCAAAACCACTGAAGTAAGCAGTGTTTGTTATAGCATGTAGACTACCCCATTAAATGCTTTAAATTTAGGCAGGATGCATTCTTTGTAGTTAATTGAGTTGCCGATCACTTGTGGCCAATATGCTTTACACACTAAGGCTACTAGCAAAAAATAAATATACACACACACACACACACACACATATACATACACACACACACACACACATATACATACATACACACACACACACACACATCTCCATTAATGCTGATTTAAAGAATGAGTTAGAACTATAATGTGACCTTAATAGGACTGTCTCAACGAAGCTTCTAAGACTTCGACTCCCATGATGTCACAGAACTACAACTGCTGCCATATATTCCAATCAAAGAATTATAGGAGTTAAAAGACATCAACAATTAGGGGCCAGAGTTTGAAATCTCTGGTCTAGAGTCATTTTACAGTACTACGGCCTTGCACCCCTGCCTCTCCCCCCCCCAAAAAAAACCACAGACCACTTGGCCTCCAACTCCGTAAACTCAACATATTGTATAAAGGTATACCAAATAGGAAAATAAGTAAAAAATATAAAACAATGTATGATATAGTAAAAGTCCACAATCTCTAAAAGTCACTTAGAGCCTTTTATGGGGAGAAAATAGTCCAAATTCATATTATGGCATTCTAGGACCAAATGATGTACCGGGAATACCTTTAAAGCAAAAAAGAAACAGAATATGGTATAATACTGTTACATTTATTGCCTCAGTACAAAAAATCCCCCCCAAAAGTGGAACTCTCACAAGATAAAATAATAAAATATTGGTACTTATCGTTAAGGACCACAGTGGCGGCTCAAAGCGCAGCTAGTTCTCTCAAGGTTGCAAACAGGATGCCTGGTAGTCCCAAAGCGTCAGCGTCTGTCTCGTGCACAGAGGCAGGCTGTTTGGCAGTTCATAAACGAAGAAACACCGGCAATAAATCCTATTAGTTGTTTGCCAGTACATCATTTGGTCCTAAAATGCCATAATATGAATTTGGACTATTTTCTCCCCATAAAAGGCTCTAAGTGACTTTTAGAGATTGTTTTATATTTTTTATTTATTTTCCTATTTGGTATACCCTTATACAATTTCAAAGGGGAAGATCTATTAAGCGCTGACAATTTTTCACTTGCATTGTACATATAGGATTTGGGAAAATTCTTTGTTTCAGCTGCTTATACCTACTGCACATTTTTAGATATTATATTTTGCACTTAGCCACTTTCTACCCTGATACTAACATCAGTTTTATATTATATATGCGCTCTCTTTTTCAATCTTTATTTCAACATATTGTATAATCAGTTTTGTCTGCCATGCGATTACCCTACCCATCAATGTGCTATGTTGAAGAATGAAAATGGTTGACTTTCAAATGTAATCATAGGCCTTATTAATATTGCCGGTTTCATAACCAATTATCCAGTAACCTACGGCCTACGATTCCAATCAAAGAATTATAGGAGTTAAAAGACATCAACAATTAGGGGCCAGAGTTTGAAATCTCTGGTCTAGAGTCATTTTACAGTACTACGGCCTTGCACCCCTGCCTCTCCCCCCCCCAAAAAAAACCACAGACCACTTGGCCTCCAACTCCGTAAACTCAACATATTGTATAAGGGTATACCAAATAGGAAAATAAGTAAAAAATATAAAACAATGTATGATATAGTAAAAGTCCACAATCTCTAAAAGTCACTTAGAGCCTTTTATGGGGAGAAAATAGTCCAAATTCATATTATGGCATTCTAGGACCAAATGATGTACCGGGAATACCTTTAAAGCAAAAAAGAAACAGAATATGGTATAATACTGTTACATTTATTGCCTCAGTACAAAAAATCCCCCCCAAAAGTGGAACTCTCACAAGATAAAATAATAAAATATTGGTACTTATCGTTAAGGACCACAGTGTCGGCTCAAAGCGCAGCTAGTTCTCTCAAGGTTGCAAACAGGATGCCTGGTAGTCCCAAAGCGTCAGCGTCTGTCTCGTGCACAGAGGCAGGCTGTTTGGCAGTTCATAAACGAAGAAACACCGGCAATAAATCCTATTAGTTGTTTGCCAGTACATCATTTGGTCCTAAAATGCCATAATATGAATTTGGACTATTTTCTCCCCATAAAAGGCTCTAAGTGACTTTTAGAGATTGTAGACTTTTACTATATCATACATTGTTTTATATTTTTTTATTTATTTTCCTATTTGGTATACCCTTATACAATTTCAAAGGGGAAGATCTATTAAGCGCTGACAATTTTTCACTTGCATTGTACATATAGGATTTGGGAAAATTCTTTGTTTCAGCTGCTTATACCTACTGCACATTTTTAGATATTATATTTTGCACTTAGCCACTTTCTACCCTGATACTAACATCAGTTTTATATTATATATGCGCTCTCTTTTTCAATCTTTATTTCAACATATTGTATAATCAGTTTTGTCTGCCATGCGATTACCCTACCCATCAATGTGCTATGTTGAAGAATGAAAATGGTTGACTTTCAAATGTAATCATAGGCCTTATTAATATTGCCGGTTTCATAACCAATTATCCAGTAACCTACGGCCTACGACCTTTCCCTTAGCAACATGCGCAGCCACACTGCTAATAATTATCACCCGAACAAACCAAGTCTGTAACAACTACTAATAGTTATTATCCAATCAACTGCTAATGGTCATTATCCAATCAAACCACACCTGTAACAACCTCTAATGGTTATCATCCAATCAAACCACACCTGTAACAACCGCTAATGGTTAACATCCAATCAAACCAAACCTGTAACAACTGCTAATGGTTATCATCCAATCCAACCAAATCTGTAACAACCGCTAATGGTTATCATCCAATCCAACCAAATCTGTAACAACCGCTAATGGTTATCATCCAATCAAACCAAACCTGTAACAACCGCTAATGGTTATCGTCCAATCAAACCTGTAACAACTGCTAATGGTTAACATCCAATCAAGCCAAACCTGTAACAACTGCTAATGGTTATCATCCAATCAAACCAAACCTGTAACAACCACTAATGGTTATCATCCAATCAAACCAAACCTGTAACAACCGCTAATGGTTATCATCCAATCAAACCAAACCTGTAACAACCGCTAATGGTTATCATCCAATCAAACCAAACCTGTAACAACCGCTAATGGTTATCATGCAATCAAATCAAACCTGTAACAACCGCTAATGGTTATCATCCAATCAAACCTAACCTGTAACAACCGCTAATGGTTATCATGCAATCAAATCTGTAACAACCGCTAATGGTTATCATCCAATCAAACCTAACCTGTAACAACCGCTAATGGTTATCATGCAATCAAATCAAACCTGTAACAACCACTAATGGTTATCATCCAATCAAACCGAACCTATAACAACTGCTAATAATTATTATCCAATCAAACCAAACCTGTAACAACCGCTAATGGTTATCATCCAATCAAACCAAACCTGTAACAACCGCTAATGGTTATAATCCAATCAAACCAAATCTGTAACTGCTAATATATACTGCTAATGGTAACTATGTTTTTTTTTATTGTTTGTCATACCAGAAAATAAGAGAACGCTCATCGTATTCTTCCTAATTCAAAAACTGTATACGTACCACCATTGGAGTCAACTCAAATAAAATGGTATTTCTCTATCGTGTGAAGTACAGTAACCTCTGTTACAATCATTCAAACATATCTACAAGAATTTATTTTAAAAACACATAAAACAAAACATAGATCTCATGTTAGTCTTGCAAAAGTCTCTGCTTAGATAATTTCATCCAAATACACAATGTCAACCCATCTATTTAGTTCTGAAATTTAGTATATATTTCTTTCCAATCTCCACCACTTTCATTAGTATTCGGTTTAAATACAAACAGGGTTCTCCAAGGGGCAGTTCCACTCAGGGAGAGCCCACTTACTTACTCTCCAAACAGAACACTATACGGAAAATAAAAAACTATGAACAAATGGGAGCTTCCTTGATTTATTATCATTTATATAACTACAAGTCTCATTGTAAAGTCACTGGGAGTATTCCTCAAAGTATCCTGCAGTTCTGTGAGCCTTTGATACCAAATCAATTCAGTAACAGGTCTCCCGATGGCTGAGTTGGGTGGTCCATTCTCCACCTGGTTCCTTTAATAGCACGGTTCTCCAGAAGTCAGAATTCAGCCCTGGATTGTATGAACTATATTGTTTGCTTGATTAAAGTTGGACCCTAATGATGTTGCTAAATCAGAAATTAATTAAAGCTGCAGCTCTCTTAACCCCATGGGAGTGCCTCCTGAATAGGCCATTAGAAGGGTGGACTCGAACAGAGCAAACTTTGCTACAGAAAGACACCTTAGCGACCAGACTGGCCATAGCCCAGATTTTGCTACAGCATACTGTTCATTTCATTCATACGATTCATTCAGGAAAATCTATTTGGACGAACCACAATGTTGTGTAAAGGCAAAACATATACATATTATAAACGTAATTTATATATTGCAGTATACTGATAGACATGTTTTACTGTCTTTTGTTTCACAGATCAAGTGAGAAGTAATAATCAAAAGCAGTCAAAAAAATCTTTATTTATATATTAGATATTTATTAAATATATACATACATACATACACACACACACACACAATGTATGTATGTATTATTAGATAATAGATGCATTATAAAATCAACATTAATTGCCAGTACCTTAACTATCAACCATCGCTTTTTTGTTACCAAAGATGAAATTTGAACCACGAAACACACTAAATGGTTTGTCTATTGCCCATTTCATTTGCATTGCGATTTGGCCATATGGCAATTCAGAGTAGCGAAATTCAGAGGAATCGCAGATCACCCAACATTCAGATGCGTTGCTATTCGTTTAAAACTACATTTACAAGTCTAGTGCTGAGAGATTCCTAATTTGTTTAAAAAAAATATATATATATATATTTGACACTCAGACAGCAAGCATGGAGTCTGCAACCTAACAGCTAGCATGAGTTGCAGTGGTTATGGTGATTAAGTATAATTTTACATACTTTGGTATCTCGAGTAAGTATATAGATCATAAGTCACCTGAGGTTGACGTCTGTTGAATACGAGGTATCAGAGCTGAATTCTGTCTGTACAGCTTGGCGGTGATGATTCTGTGTGCCAGTGTGACAGTCATATAACAGGATATTCCTGGAGATATGCCTTGGTTGGGACATTTCTATCCCAAAAAAAAAAAATTAAAAAAAAAAAAAAAAAATGGAGAACCGTGTAAGTTAAAAGAAACCAAAATTAAAATTGATAACAGATGCTGGAAGATCAAACATCACATATGAGATTTTCCAAAGGTTTAATTAAAAAAATAAAAATACAGCTGCGACTGTAAATGGAAATTTTTTTCAATTACCGAATACTTTTTCATGAATACAGTAAATATTTTTATATATTTTGTGTTGTTAAAGGTTGTTGTATGTATTTTGTTTAACTATTTAGTAGATATAAAAAACATGCATCTAAGATTAGATTTTGCCAGCAAGCCACGTTACCCACAGCTTCAGCGTGACAGTCCCAATTTTGGAACACCTCACCCGCTATCCCAGATGTTTTCCCAGCCTAGAATGTGCCCCATGTGCCAGTGTTTTATATGGGCAGTGCTGCTTGGCCACCTCACTGGACACTGGCATGCACAGGTAGAACATCCTCAATGGCACAAAGTGTGGCACTGGCAAACCCCATGCCAGCCCTACCTCCGCTCTTCCATGTAAGTGTCCACAGGGCGGTTTATTGACTGGTGAAAATTTATAAGGAAATCGTAAATTTGAGGCAAGAACAAGTGAGCTTGAAAACTAGGTGTGTTCCCATTTTATTTTAGAACCTAAACTTTCAATTCTGGCCCACAATTCGCATTTTTCTGACTATGTTTCTATGTTCCCTGGTTGTATTCCTGAATATATCAGTCAGCTAACTGCCTGTATCATGATAGGATTGCATCTAGGAATGTCACAATATGATGGCTGGGCCTGTGTGCCCCACAGTAGGAGTAACTCATACGCCCCCAAGGGGTTCGATCACGTATCTAATCATGAATATTCCTCTGATCCCAACTTAATTCATTCATTCCACACCTGGACTCCAGGAATTCTGCATTTGGCTGGGAAGCACTTTCAAAACTACCAGACTGAATGAAGAATAAGACTAAAGACTGTTCCGAATCAAAGTATCAGTTTAACACACACTCAGAAAGGGTTAAAAGCAGATATTATCCTCAGTCATCAGACATGCATACAGATCCCAACAGTAAACAGCCCGTCTCTAAACACGTCAGCCGCCACCTGTTTATTTAATCGCTTACTTCCCCAAGGCAAAAAACACAAACTGCTCTCCCATTGTCATCGTACAGAACTGCTAAACGCCCATTATCTTCCTGAACCAGCGCTTATATCAGACTGGAGACCAGTTACCACTTCTAACATTGACCGACTTGTTCACTAAAATGGGAATTGAAACAGAATTTTACATTTTATTCTGATATAGCCCAAAAGGAAACAGCAGCTTCCCTTTAGTTACAGCAATTTACACTTTATTTAATAGCCCTGACAGTTAAACGGTTTCTGAGAGAGTGAGGGAGGGAGTTGGCAGGAATTGTATTCCCTGTAAGCAGCGTTGCCGTATCCACCATTATATCTCATACTTCGGGTCTCAGTAGTCACTGGACTGGTTACATTTTATCTCCCTCCATTTAGTCTCATAACGTCACCGTCAGGGGTCAAGGTCTTCCTGTGCAGCAGGTGAAACCAATTTAAAATACATCACAAACACTGCGTTAGGAATTAGCAGAGGTGAGAGCTGGGGACAAAGGTGACATCGTTACCATGGTAAATCGCTGATTATGGCCTATCTGTAGTCTTCATAGCAAGTCGCTTCAGCAATTATTTATAAAAGATAAACAAAAATGAATTGACAAACAATGTACAGTTTACCGTTTTTAAAGCCTTCTTAAAACCACCTCTCTCAGTCGAGATTATTGGGATTTAGTCACACAAGAGGCCCCCCCTAACACACACACACACACACACACACACACGTGCCGATAGATGCCGTAGCTGGTCCTATTCAAATCCCAGCCTGTATGGCTTGGAATTCCCACTAAGCATTGGTGAGTGAGAATTCACCCCTAGTGAGTGTGCTATGGAACCTCCAGGCTTTCAGTGGTTAGTAACTTTTAAGACCTGGCTAGTAGGATAGGACTAAGTTTTACGCCCTGGCTATATGTCTCAATCCAGCTGAATAATTGTAGAGGTCGGTGCTTTATGCATAAGGCATATCAATGTGGGATTCAGGGGCTCTCAGGGTCACCCCGCTAGTGTCTCCTTAAAGATAGATTGTGACCTAACACAGGGATAAATTCTAACACAGACAGCCTCACATTTTACCATCTGCTTATGCAAAACACCATTTAAATGGAAAGCAAATATGTGTGTGTTTTTTGCATGGATACATATTCAGCCTCCCTTCCATTATTGTCAGATGCGATGACCTAATGCATTAACCGAACAAGGAAGTAAAATGCTCCCTCGAAGGTTAGCCCCAAACCTGCCGAGCACCAATCCCCGAAACAAACAATATCTGCATTCAGCGAAGCACAGCAACCGGCCATTTCACATCTACACGCACATAAAGCAGTTTGTCAGCATTTCTCATCGTCATCTTTGAAATCTCTCTAAAAACAATCACAGGAAAACGATGACGACTTTACTGTGTGTTTTTTTTTTGTTTTTTTTTATTATCTATCTGCCTCTCTAGGGAGTTCCCATTTTGTAGCGTTATGACAATAATTGGGTTTTAGTCACTAAATTGTAATTGACCGGGGAGTTGGTCAATAGCTCAGCTATTTTGGCGTGAGATTTGCAGATATTTTTGTCATTTCTCTGCAGTTCCTTTCCATTTTAGCCTGTAATCCCAGAATGTATATATTGTGCTAACCGGTGACTATCAGATGTAAAGAGAAATATTAAATTTTTCTGATTGATTATTAGATTTCTGTGTCAAGCTTTTATAACCCCAGAAGGCGGCGTTGATATCGGAATTTTTTGTGCATCAGTCGGCGTTACAGATACAGATGTCACTCGGATTAGAACTGCAGACGATTTATAAAGATTCAATGCATTCCGCAGCCAGATATTCGGATTCAGATAATTGATAGTTTTCTTTCTGTATAACTTTGTGTGAAGGTAGGAGCATTAGGAGCGTGTGAATCTGTGAGTCTTACAATAATTACCACGCTGGCTGAGCGCTGGGGGAAGCATTGTGGGTTTCATGCTCTCACTAACATTTAAAATCAAAGCAACTTTGTCACCGTCTTTATGAAATACTCACATTGACTGTGCTGCAGTTTAAAGATACTAAGACAAAAACACAGACTATTTGTCTTAGTATTGTTCCTACGCTTGAAAAAAGCACTAAGTGTTTTTTATTTCCACCCGCTATCACTAGAAATGGAATCCTCCATAGACATCAGTGTTGGACACCATAGGCAAGTAGGAGAGTACGACACTGACGTGGGGCCCTGACAGGTGAAGCTCCAGGAGCTGCAGGACCAAATATAGGCAAAATAAGCGGATTTCGAAAATTTCACGGTTTTGCTATTTTAGCATAACTCAGCAGTTTGGTAGTTGGTGTACAACCTTTCAATATTTGGGGAATAAACCTCAAGTGACACAAACTCACAAAGCCAGAAATAGAGGTCACACAAAATCACAAATACAATGTAAACTTCTACTGGTTTAGTAAATATCACTGCAAACTGAAACCGGATTGTCATCAATCATTAATAACATACAAAAAAATAAAACCAACCAAGTCAACCTACAAACAATTTATCTAAATTCTAAAAACAGGTTTTCTCAGATTTGTTTTCATTCCTCGGCTACTTTGGCCAATATTTTATAAATGAGTTTAATGATAACGGCCAGGAGAAACTCTATAACTCCGCTATAGTAACAGCCAGGAGAAACTCTATAACTCCGCTATAGTAACAGCCAGGAGAAACTCTATAACTCCGCTATAGTAACAGCCAGGAGAAACTCTATAACTCCGCTATAGTAACAGCCAGGAGAAACTCTATAACTCCGCTATAGTAACAGCCAGGAGAAACTCTATAACTCCGCTATAGTAACAGCCAGGAGAAACTCTATAACTCCGCTATAGTAACAGCCAGGAGAAACTCTATAACTCCGCTATAGTAACAGCCAGGAGAAACTCTATAACTCCGCTATAGTAACAGCCAGGAGAAACTCTATAACTCCGCTATAGTAACAGCCAGGAGAAACTCTATAACTCCGCTATAGTAACAGCCAGGAGAAACTCTATAACTCCGCTATAGTAACAGCCAGGAGAAACTCTATAACTCCGCTATAGTAACAGCCAGGAGAAACTCTATAACTCCGCTATAGTAACAGCCAGGAGAAACTCTATAACTCCGCTATAGTAACAGCCAGGAGAAACTCTATAACTCCACTATAGTAACAGCCAGGAGAAACTCTATAACTCCGCTATAGTAACAGCCAGGAGAAACTCTATAACTCCGCTATAGTAACAGCCAGGAGAAACTCTATAACTCCACTATAGTAACAGCCAGGAGAAACTCTATAACTCCGCTATAGTAACAGCCAGGAGAAATTCTATAACTCCGCTATAGTAACAGCCAGGAGAAACTCTATAACTCCGCTATAGTAACAGCCAGGAGAAACTCTATAACTCCGCTATAGTAACAGCCAGGAGAAACTCTATAACTCCGCTATAGTAACAGCCAGGAGAAACTCTATAACTCCGCTATAGTAACAGCCAGGAGAAACTCTATAACTCCGCTATAGTAACAGCCAGGAGAAACTCTATAACTCCGCTATAGTAACAGCCAGGAGAAACTCTATAACTCCGCTATAGTAACAGCCAGGAGAAACTCTATAACTCCGCTATAGTAACAGCCAGGAGAAACTCTATAACTCCGCTATAGTAACAGCCAGGAGAAACTCTATAACTCTATAGTAACAGCCAGGAGAAACTATAACCGCTATAGTAACAGCCAGGAGAAACTCTATAACTCCGCTATAGTAACAGCCAGGAGAAACTCTATAACTCCGCTATAGTAACAGCCAGGAGAAACTCTATAACTCCGCTATAGTAACAGCCAGGAGAAACTCTATAACTCCACTATAGTAACAGCCAGGAGAAACTCTATAACTCCACTATAGTAACAGCCAGGAGAAACTCTATAACTCCGCTATAGTAACAGCCAGGAGAAACTCTATAACTCCGCTATAGTAACAGCCAGGAGAAACTCTATAACTCCGCTATAGTAACAGCCAGGAGAAACTCTATAACTCCGCTATAGTAACAGCCAGGAGAAACTCTATAACTCCGCTATAGTAACAGCCAGGAGAAATTCTATAACTCCGCTATAGTAACAGCCAGGAGAAACTCTATAACTCCGCTATAGTAACAGCCAGGAGAAACTCTATAACTCCGCTATAGTAACAGCCAGGAGAAACTCTATAACTCCACTATAGTAACAGCTAAGTTTTGCAATTTGTAGTTTAACTACCTTTAGTTCAGTGTTTGTTGAATAATAATAACACTGTTTGTATAAAGTACGCAAGTTTAATTGAAATCATCAAACGTTCCATCTGTGAGATAATAAAGTATATATTTAGTTGATATGAAAGCACCTGGTTAGTGCAATGAGGCCTGGTAGCCAGACTCGGTATTGGGGGAGGACTAGCCAAGACATGTCTCTGAGGCAGTCAGTGCTGCTCTGAGTGCAGACTATTACACAGACACAAGTCACACATGACCATTTATACAAATAAACGTTAGTCTCTCTGCGTGGATTACACACGAAACGTGTGCACAAATTCTTTCAAATCCTACGAACGAATCATATTCCTTCCAATCTACGCCCGAACAAATCGAGCCATCCGGGATTTACCTGTAAGACTTCGCACATTCATTCAGATGTAGATTAAAAATAGTTATTTAGTTTGCACAAGCTAAAAAGAGTTTGAACACAAGTCTACAACAGACAACATAATGGGCCTCCTATTCACTAAACAAAGAGCTGATGTAACATTTGAACGGATTTGGAAGATATAGATGAAAACATAAAATGTAAATATCCATTTCTGCACAAATTGAGATTGTTTTTCACTTTAGTTATTTTAGTGTCGGCACAGTTTGCTGTTTTAGTGAAGTGACCCCCATGGTCGCACAATATATACAGAAATACACTGAGAGGGAATGAAGAATTGTTTAAAATGCTGATTTCCATTTAACACTTTATTTCTTCTAATTTGTTCACGTCAAACTCTGAAAAATAATGGTTTCTGGCAACAGAATATCTGCTAATCTCCAGATAAACTGATAAACTAACAAGCTATCATCACACATAAACTCACTCGACCAGGAAAGCAGGCAGAGAGGAAGGCATTTCTGCTTTGTATAATATTCAGAAATAATTAACAACTAACAATATCGTCACCACAGTAAAGTTTTCAAGCACAATTTCCTTAAAATTGTAATTGTAATAAATATAATCTAAAATGATTCTTCGAGGGAACTCATAACTTGGATAGTCTTAGTAACAACTATAAAGTCATAAAAATATGCTTTGGAGCTATTTTCACCCCAGAAATATTGGAATCACTTCGGCTTTTCAAGACACATCATTTTTTTATGCTGATGAGTAACACATGCAAAGTGCTGTAGTCCTTGTAGTATCTAGAATTCACGTGCTGCAAGATGGCTTTTCCTTTGGGATCCTCGTGATGAATACATATCCATCCCTTCTTCTGCGTGTGAATGTTAAATACTGCAGGGGGCACTTTTCATTCCCTTACCATCCTCGTGCAGAGGTGACATGGGTCCAGGAAGAGTTGGGCACTATATGACTAATTGGCTAAGTGTTGATCAGTTATCAGAAGACTTTCTAAAGCGGGGCCCATATGTACATCCATCAAGATGTACATATGTCCTCAGTAATTACTTTTAAAGCAACCTACCTTTCTACCCTTACCCTTACCCTTTGTGTCACTATAGCATGTAAGCTCTTTGAGCAGGGTCCTTAAGCCCTCTGTTTCTGTGCGTCCAACTCGTCTGGTCATATACACTGCTTTGTCAGTCCAACCATTGTACAGCGCTATAGACTGTGTTGGCGCTTTCTTAATAATAATAATAATAATAATAATACTATTTATGTTTATGGAATCATGGGTTATGTGTTATAAAAGATATGATAATTTATGTTTTAACGCATTTTTACTTTTTTCAGCTTTTTAATTGCTCAGGGGATCCACTCGGTGAAAACAACTCATTGCAAAAAAAAAAAAAAAATTACAACAAAAAATTCTTAATAATCTGTCAAACGGAAACAATAGATCGTGGGATACAATAACTATATTCTTAGATACATGCAAAAGGCTTTAGGGCGTCCACAAATCAGTCTTTAACGCTTCCATTGTCAAAAAAAAAATCTAAAATCAATCTCCTTTTGTTTACATCCATGACTTCCCTCTTACGATCTGACGACACTATGGCTGCTAGGAAAACATTAACAGTACAGAGAGGCTGCAACAATATTAGCAGAATTCTATGAATTTACCTTGTTTTTTTGTTGAAGCGACAGCTGCCCTGTAAAAGAAAGAATAGGGGGGTTAGTGAGAGTTCCCTCCATGGGATGACTGCGTTTCCTGCAATCCCTGGTCTTGCTGTACTTACAGCAGCGTCACTGTCATGCAGGTTGCTCTCGTGCTGCCTTCACTTTGCTGTTTGTACTAAAACCCCAGGGAGGGGACAGGTGGCACCACCCATCATCCGTGTCCTCATCTTCGCAGCCCTTTTATTAAGTGAGCTTCCTCCTTTCTCTCACCGCCGGGAAACAACAAGAGGCTCAGTGTGGTAGATGGAAAGAGAAAGTATCGGCCATTCACTGCAGTGAGCATTGTCAGGAATTCCCAGCGATTTCAAAGGAAATTAGAAAATGAAAATGTTTAGAATTAGAAATTCACTCAATCCACACTTTAATGATAATAATAACAAAGTATTTAACCAGGAAAGGTACATTCAGATTACGTCCTGGGGATGTTTAGTGAATAACTGTATGATTGATTATTTTTGTACCCGAAGCAGGTGGTAGTCCGGTCTATCACTGGTATAGGGAGCTGGGAGCCTCCTTGGTCAGTGACTCGGACAGCAGGTGGTAGTCCGGTCTATCACTGGTATAGGGAGCTGGGAGCCTCCTTGGTCAGGGACTCGGACAGCAGGTGGTAGTCCGGTCTATCACTGGTATAGGGAGCTGGAAGCCTCCTTGGTCAGTGACTCGGACAGCAGGTGGTAGTCCGGTCTATCACTGGTATAGGGAGCTGGGAGCCTCCTTGGTCAGTGACTCGGACAGCAGGTGGTAGTCCGGTCTATAACTGGTATAGGGAGCTGGGAGCCTCCTTGTTCAGGGACTCGGACAGCAGGTGGTAGTCCGGTCTATCACTGGTATAGGGAGCTGGGAGCCTCCTTGGTCAGTGACTCGGACAGCAGGTGGTAGTCCGGTCTATCACTGGTATAGGGAGCTGGGAGCCTCCTTGGTCAGTGACTCGGACAGCAGGTGGTAGTCCGGTCTATCACTGGTATAGGGAGCTGGGAGCCTCCTTGGTCAGTGACTCGGACAGCAGGTGGTAGTCCGGTCTATCACTGGTATAGGGAGCTGGGAACCTCCTTGGTCAGTGACTCGGACAGCAGGTGGTAGTCCGGTCTATCACTGTTATTGGGAGACTCCTTGGTCAAGGACTCGGACAGGTCGGACAGGTCTCTAAACAAATCGTTTCTCCGCTCCATGAATTAGGTTTCCAGAACCCAAGGCAGTAAGAACTAAAATATAAGACAACGCAATATTATAAGATGCCTGCTCTCCTGCCTTATCCCATAGTGATACCTGGATGTGAGTGATGGGAGTTAAGTTAGTAACAATTTGCTGGAACCTGGTAGCATAACTTTGCATCTGTTTTAAAATGGTGGCATCAAAACCTCAAATACAATTTGAGAAACCGTCATTATAATCTGGTGACTGGAATTAATTGATTACCTTGTCATTCATAAAGGTAATGTTTTAAAATCAATGGTTAAATGAAACTTAATTTTACCCCCTGGGTGGAATTAGACGGAACACCACACTACAGCAAGTGCTGGTTTAGGAGGGTACCCCACACTATCATCTCTTAGGCTTAGCTGGTACACCATACTATCCCCTGGGAAGGTTTAGGGGTACACCATACTAACACCTGGGAAGGTTTAGGGGGTACACCATACTACCCCTGGGAAGGCTTAGGGGGTACACCTTACTACCCCCTGGAAAGGTTTATGGGGTACACCATACTTACCCCTGGAAAGGTTTATGGGGTACACCATACAAACCCCTGGAAAGGTTTAGGGGTACACCACCTTAACCCCTGGAAAGGTTTAGGGGTACACCACATTAACCCCTTGGAAGGGTTAGGGGTACACCATACTACCCCCTGGAAAGGATGAGAAGGTACACTGCATCATGAGTAGGATTAGGGGTACACTGCATCATGGGTAGGATTAAGGGGTACACTGCATCATGGGTACACCATACTACCCCCTGGGAAGGATGAGAAGGTACACTGCATCATGGGTAGGATTAGGGGGTACACTGCATCATGGGTAGGATTATGGGGTACACCATACTACCCCCTGGGAAGAATGAGAAGGTACACTGCATCATGGGTAGGATTAGGGGGTACACTGCATCATGGGTAGGATTAGGGGGTACACTGCATCATGGGTAGGATTAAGGGGTACACCATACTACCCCCTGGGAAGGATGAGAAGGTACACTGCATCATGGGTAGGATTAGGGGGTACACTGCATCATGGGTAGGATTAGGGGGTACACTGCATCATGGGTAGGATTAAGGGGTACACCATACTACCCCCTGGGAAGGATGAGAAGGTACACTGCATCATGGGTAGGATTAGGGGGTACACTGCATCATGGGTAGGATTAAGGGGTACACCATACTACCCCCTGGGAAGGATGAGAAGGTACACTGCATCATGGGTAGGATTAGGGGGTACACTGCATCATGGGTAGGATTAGGGGGTACACTGCATCATGGGTAGGATTAGGGGGTACACTGCATTAGGGGATACACCATACTACCCCCTGGGAAGGATGAGACGGTACACTGCATCATGGGTAGGATTAGGGGGTACACTGCATCATGGGTAGGATTAGGGGGTACACTGCATTAGGGGATACACCATACTACCCCCTGGGAAGGATGACAAGGTACACTGCATCATGGGTAGGATTAGGGAGTACAGTGCATCATTGGTAGGATTAGGGGGTACACCATACTACCCCCTGGGAAGGATGAGAAGGTACACTGCATCATGGGTAGGATTAGGGGGTACACTGCATCATGGGTAGGATTAGGGGGTACACTGCATCATGGGTAGGATTAGGGGGTACACCATACTACCCCCTGGGAAGGATGAGAAGGTACACTGCATCATGGGTAGGATTAGGGGGTACACTGCATCATGGGTAGGATTAAGGGGTACACTGCATCATGGGTAGGATTAAGGGGTACACCATACTACCCCCTGGGAAGGATGAGAAGGTACACTGCATCATGGGTAGGATTAGGGGGTACACTGCATCATGGGTAGGATTAGGGGGTACACTGCATTAGGGGATACACCATACTACCCCCTGGGAAGGATGAGACGGTACACTGCATCATGGGTAGGATTAGGGGGTACACTGCATCATGGGTAGGATTAGGGGGTACACCATACTACCCCCTGGGAAGGATGAGAAGGTACACTGCATCATGGGTAGGATTTGAGGGTACACTGCATCATGGGTAGGATTAGGGGGTACACTGCATTAGGGGATACACCATACTACCCCCTGGGAAGGATGACAAGGTACACTGCATCATGGGTAGGATTAGGGAGTACAGTGCATCATTGGTAGGATTAGGGGGTACACCATACTACCCCCTGGGAAGGATGAGAAGGTACACTGCATCATGGGTAGGATTAGGGGTACACTGCATCATGGGTAGGATTAGGGGATAAACCATACTATCCGCCAGGGAAGGATGAGAAGGTACACTGCATCATGGGTAGGATTAGGGATCTGTCATAATACACCTCTGGTGTAGGTTTTTAATTGAAAGCTCTAATGGCAGAACTGGATGCCCAGTTAGATTAGTTGTTTTTTCTGTTTGGGTATTCTGGCTGCTGACTCGCTCAGTGCTTTGTGACTTCTGACCATATTTGGTTTTAGTAAATATGAGGATTATTATAGTGATAAAAATTCAGCCATTTTCACCGGATTTTGTTCTTCTGACATTTTACATCTGGCAAATTCCTGTGTTTAGTTAAAATATCTGTCAGTGAATATCACTGTTAGTGAATAACGCTGTTAGTGAATAGCCATGTTATTGAATAGCCATGTTAGTGAATAACGATGTTAGTATGTAAGGCTGTTAGTGAATAACGCTGTTAGTAAGTAAGGCTGTTAGTGAATAACGCTGTTAGTGAATGTCTCTGTTAGTGAATAACGCTGTTAATGAATGTCTCTGTTAATGAATGTCGCTGTTAGTGAATGTCGCTGTTAGTGAATGTCGCTGTTAGTGAATAACGCTGTTAATGAATGTCTCTGTTAATGAATGTCTCTGTTAGTGAATGTCGCTGTTAGTGAATGTCTCTGTTAGTGAATAACGCTGTTAATGAATGTCTCTGTTAATGAATGTCTCTGTTAATGAATGTCTCTGTTAGTGAATGTCGCTGTTAGTGAATGTCGCTGTTAGTAAATGTCGCTGTTAGTAAATGTCGCTGTTAGTAAATGTCGCTGTTAGTAAATAACGCTGTTAGTAAGTAAGGCTGTTAGTAAGTAAGGCTGTTAGTAAGTAAGGCTGTTAGTGAATAACGCTGTTAGTGAATGTCTCTGTTAGTGAATGTCGCTGTTAGTAAATGTCGCTGTTAGTAAATGTCGCTGTTAGTAAATGTCGCTGTTAGTAAATGTCGCTGTTAGTAAATGTCGCTGTTAGTAAATGTCGCTGTTAGTAAATGTCGCTGTTAGTGAATGTCGCTGTTAGTGAATGTCGCTGTTAGTAAATGTCGCTGTTAGTAAATGTCGCTGTTAGTAAATGTCGCTGTTAGTAAATGTCGCTGTTAGTAAATGTCGCTGTTAGTAAATAACGCTGTTAGTAAGTAAGGCTGTTAGTAAGTAAGGCTGTTAGTAAGTAAGGCTGTTAGTGAATAACGCTGTTAGTGAATGTCTCTGTTAGTGAATGTCGCTGTTAGTAAATGTCGCTGTTAGTGAATGTCGCTGTTAGTGAATGTCGCTGTTAGTAAATAACGCTGTTAGTAAGTAAGGCTGTTAGTGAATAACGCTGTTAGTGAATGTCTCTGTTAGTGAATAATGCTGTTAGTGAATGTCTCTGTTAATGAATGTCTCTGTTAGTGAATGTCTCTGTTAGTGAATGTCGCTGTTAGTGAATGTCGCTGTTAGTGAATGTCGCTGTTAGTGAATGTCGCTGTTAGTGAATGTCGCTGTTAGTAAATGTCGCTGTTAGTAAATGTCGCTGTTAGTAAATAACGCTGTTAGTAAATAATCTCTGTTAGTGAATAACGCTGTTAATGAATGTATCTGTCAGTAAATAACGCCGTTAGTGAATAACGCTGTTAGTAAATGTCTCTGTCAGTGAATGTCGCTGTCAGTGAATGTCGCTGTCAGTGAATGTCGCTGTCAGTGAATGTCGCTGTCAGTGAATGTCGCTGTTAGTTGGCGATGCTGTCCGTCGAATACTCGGGTTGTTAATATTAATTCCAC